AGACGGCCATGTAGGTGCATCTAGGACACCTCCGTCGAGTGTTGGACGTGATGCGAGCGAACAAGCTCTACGCCAACATCGACAAGTGCGTTTTCGCGTCACCAGAGATCAAAGTTCTCGGTTGCTTCGTAAGCAACGTGGGCGTTCGGGCTGACCCAGACAAGGTCAAGGCCATAGCAGCATGGCCGACGCCCCGATCCCAGAAGGATCTTCGAAAGTGGTTGGGTTTGGCCAACTACCTTCACAAGTACAGCGCTGGGTACGCGGGCTTCGCTAAGCCCTTTTTGAGCCTCCTTCAGAAGGACGTCGACTGGCGCTGGGAGCAAGAGCACCAGGATGCTTTTGACAGCATCAAGGCCAGTCTCCAAGAGGCTCCTGTCCTGGCCCTGCCGGACGAGACGAAGCCGTTTAGCGTCGTCTGCGATGCCTCCGATTACGCCATCGGATGTGCATTGCTGCAGGCCGACACGGCTGTACACGAACGAGTCATCTCGTTCCAGTCCAGGCAGCTCAAAGCCGCCGAGCGGAACTACCCCGTCCATGACAAGGAGCTCCTGGCAATGAAATATGCCCTTGTGAAGTTCCGTGTTCACCTTCTGGGCTCTAGACCCTTTGTGATCTACACAGACCACGCGTCCTTGAGGACGGCGACTAACTCGCCTCACCTCTCCCAAAGGATGGCGAGGTGGCTGTCCTTCTTCGCGGAATACAACTTCCGCGTCGAATACAAGCCGGGCAAGCTCAACGTGCTTGCGGACGCCCTCTCTCGGCGTCTTGACTATGAGTTGGCCCACATCACGCGGATGACAACGGATCTATATGATCGGATACGCATGGCGTATCGGGACGATGAGGCTGTCGCGCCTATCGTCAAGTTCCTTAAGGCCGGAACGAGCGCGAAGTCCGACTGGCTCTCGTCGCGACAGCGCTCACGGCTCCACCGATATGAGTTGAAGGAGGGCCTCCTCTATTATCGGGTGGAGCCCACTGATCCTCCACGGGTGGTCGTACCCAACGACGAGGATCTGAAGTTCGACATCCTCGCGGAGGCGCATGACGCGCCCTCCAGCGGCCACTTGGGCCGCGAGAAGACCTTTCTGTCAGTCTCTCAGTCCTTCTGGTGGACCCACATGTACAAGTGGGTCGCCCGGTACGTCAAGACATGTGAAACATGTCAGCGGGTCAAACCCGCAGGGCACTCTTCGGCTCCACTACAGAGCCTGCCCGTACCGGCTGGTTGTTGGAAGTCGATGAGTCTTGACTTCATATTTGGGCTTCCCGCCGACGGACACGGTAACACCGGAATTTTGGTGTTCGTGTGTCGGCTGAGCAAGATGGTACATCTTGCTCCAGTTCCCGTCACTGTTACGGGCGAACAAACCGCAAGGTTGTTCGTCGATGGCGTGTTCCGCTATCACGGTCTCCCAGAGACGATTGTCTCGGACCGAGACCCACGGTTCACTGCTGCGTTTTGGAAAACGCTGTTCCCTTTACTGGGAACTCGTCTGCAGATGTCCACTGCGGACCATCCGCAGACAGACGGCCAAACAGAGCGCGTCAATCGAGTGCTCGAGGACACTCTGCGCAGTGTGTGCGCGGCAGCACCACGTACGTGGTCGACGCAGCTTCCAGTTGTTGCGTTTGCGCTCAACAACGCGGTGCACGCGTCCACGGGGTTCACGCCGTTCTACTTGAACGGCTTCCGTCACCCCCAGAGTGCCTCTCACGCTTCGAGGAGACACTGACCCCTCTATTCTAAGTGGGGGAGAGGCTCGGAAAGCCCTTTCCTCCCAGGTCTCGGATGTAAGACCAGTTTCGCTGCGGAAACAGGTGGAATCCTTTATGGATACCAAGCTGAACATTGTCAGCAGGGTCCGCGATGCCATGGCAGCGGCCCAAGATAAACAAAAGGAGTACTCAGACAAACAAGGAAGAGGAAACTTAAGTATATTTGAGGTTGGGGGCTTAGTGTTGCTAGACACGAGGAACCTAAAAAAACACTGCTAGCTCTGTCGGCAGCAACAAACTGAAGCACCGCTTCATCGGACCTTTTGCAGTCCTGGCCAGACATGGTGCGTCGTACACCACCGACCTTCCAACGTCAATGACGACGCACCCGACGTTCTATGTCGGACGTCTTAAGCGGTACTTTGACCCGCAGGGGGTTGCTGACTCGCAGGCCCCCTTGACACAGCTCTTCGAAGCGAGGGCCGGTCACAGTCGTCGACGAGGACGTCGGAGCAGGCGCCCAAGCCTCGGTCGGGACGGCAAGGCTGCGGTCAAGACCGTACGCCGGAGGGGCTCCATACGAACGGACCCCGGCGCCATACGCCGAGTACGCTGAGTACGCCGGGTACGCACCATACGCGTACGTCTGGGAGTGTGCCGCAGGCGGCTCCGGACGTGGCAACAAAGCCTCGATCCGTCGGATCATTCGAAAGACCTCGTCCAGATCGGACGAAGAGGCCCGGCGATCCACCCGCAGGTGCAGGCTCGCGACCTCTCGCTCCACCAGGTCCAGGCGACCCGCAAGACGAGCGAGCTCGCCCTGATTCCCGGCCTGGGCGGCAGCATTACCGCCAGTCCCAAGGCCAAGTGCAATCTCAAGCACGAGGACACGTTGACGGAGGCGGTCTACCTCAGGGTCCCGTGTCGGACCCGCAGTCGGAGCACTCGGACGAGAGTGGCTCTCGGGAGGCGCCGAGTACTCGTACTCGTACGAGGGCACCTCCGCCCCTGCTTGACCGGAATGGAGAAGTCCACTTCCACGTGGAGCGGATCCTCCAGGAGCAACGGTGTCGCGGTAAGCGACAGCTCCTCGTGAAGTGGAGGGGTTATGCTCACTCCGAGAACTCGTGGGAGCCGATTGAACGGCTCCTGATTGACTGCCCGAAGGCTGTCGCAATCTGGGAACAGAAGCGGCGGCAGCTTCATAAGTAGTCCGGGGCTTCTTGCCCGAACGGGGTACGGACGATGAATACATACCGTACCCGCGCTCATCGTGAGCGCTAGAAGCCGCGCGCTTCAGGATGTCCCTTGGCAGCATACGCTTGCTGATCAAGTGAACAAACCTGACACGAAGATCACGCTGGTCCAGGATGTAAGACAGCTGCTGATCTTCATGGAGTTCCCGTAACTCCGTGGGTGAGTACTTGAGAGTCTCCACCCATGCCCAGAACATGTCCTCACAAGAACTCCACGTGGGACAGCTCTCGGGCATAACCCAGGGGTATCCCTAAACAGGATAGAGACCACCCCGGGTCTCGGGCTTCTTACGACAAGTCGTGAAGTCCTTAAGGGAAATGCGGCGTGGCGCGAGAAGCACACACCGAGCAGCCTCCAAGTTGTCGACGACCAACTGTTCTTTCTGAACAAGGGCTCGTTCAGTGTGGCCGCCCACAAGGCCACGAGGAGCGACGAGGACCTCTAAGAAGAGGTCAGCCCCAGAGCTCTCCTCGGGAGGCCAATACCCTCTTGAGTTGATGGCAGCTCCCTGGCTGACGGGTGCCGCCACCGAACCCCCACGCACACGCTGGGCAGCTTGGAATTCCTCCTGCTGCTGGTCGAGGTCATTCGAGACCTCCCGGGGCTCAACGATAGCACCCTCCTCTTCCTCTTCTTCCTCCTTCTCCTCCTCTTCATCCGAGGAATCGAAGATACTCCGATAGGAGCGATGAGTCTTCTTTTCCTCGCGGAGTGGAGACTTAGAGGCGGTACGCTTCTTTGAGGGCTTGGCGCCTTCGGCTTTAGAGGCCTTAGCGCGCGCAAGACCCTCGGCAAGCGATAGACGTTTGCGAGGATTCTCTTCCTCATCGCCACCGGCTTTGGGAGCGCCCTTAGCCTTGACGGCCGGACTCTCAGAGCGCACAGAGGTCGTGGGACTGTGATCACCTTGATCACTAGCGAGCGATTGCACGCTGTCATCTTTGTGCTCACTGGGCACTGGGCTGTGCCCTTCCACAGAGCCCGCAGGAGCATCATGAGTGCTCCCGGACTCGGCATCGTCCTCACTGCCCGAGTTGAACTCATGTTCTACGAACCGAGGGTTCGGACGATTGTCTGAAGATGAGGGCGACGGGCTGCGGCGCTTGCTTGCGCGCTTGTCCACAGCCGCGTCACCCGAGGAACCGATCGCCTCGGAGGCCACCTGAGTAGCCTCCTTGAGTGCAAAGCCTTTGCCGTGAGGCTTAGTGCTCTTGGCTTGCGCCTTACCGGCAGCAGCCTTGGAGCGTGTCTTAGCACCGCTCTTTGCAGTGCCACGAGGCATGATAACGGTCGAAGTGGGGACCTAGACGAAGAGCGCACAGGTTGCTGCTCGAGGCTCTAACTGTGAAGTGAGCCTCCGCCGCGCTCGCGCGACAAGTCGATGGTTTTCGACTTTGAGAATGAGAGTTTGTGACGAACACCTCTTCATTCTGATTGGTCGGTAAACCGAACCTAAGTGGGGGAGGATTTAACGGGGTACGTAGCCCTAAGTGTACCCTGGCTACATGAAGTGTGACACTCCACACTTCAGGAGTATGACACGTCATACTCCGGGATATTTGGTACAAGGTACCAAGGTCGTTCAAAGCCAACCATTGGTTAAATGACATTGCATTTCTATAGGTAACTAATAGTTTGTATTAAACCCAAACTTAACCTACCTATAAATATACTCAGTTTACAATCTACCTTATTTAGGTCACTTCGCTCTCTTTAATTGAAGAGGACCTGTGATCACTGAGAGTTTGTATACTCTCGGAAGATAACTTCCTCTAGCGCAAGGTGCTGTGTGACCCCGTCACAGCGAGGATCTGCTACTAAAGCTGCCGTCTACTTCACCGAGCAATGTGACCATGACCTGCCTAACTTCCGCACTGTCAACCATGATCAGCTCATGAATCGGCCTGCAAAAGGAAAGCAAATATTGCTGAAAATCTGTCGGGGATTTTATTCTTCTTGCGTGTATAATCGCGTGGCTCTTTCCTTCACTACCCCCCCCCCTCCCCAACATCTCGTCACCCAAGATTGTAATTGAATGAAAATTGACTGAAGCGCTTGCTGAGAGAATTGCCAGCATCAGCACTCGGATCGTACGCAGCAGAAGGTGGACCCTCATCGATAAACTCTGGGTCCACGTATCTTGTATCTGTCTCGCCGCTGAGCTTTGGCGTCCAGTGGGCCTTGACTTCTCGTCGCAATAATTTATCCCAGTCAATTTGCCTAAAGAATCGACAGCGCTTGATGGCGTCCACACCTCCCATTCTCTCCGACCCCAGTCGTTGCTTCGGGTCTTTGCACAGTAAACCTTTAACCAGGTCGTAGGCATCACGGGGGAAGTCCGAGGGGAAAATCACCTCCGCATACGCGATTCGACTCAGCATCTTGTGCTCATTCCCGTCGTAGAAAGGCGATTCGCCAACCAACATCTCGTACTGCGAAACAACAAATAAAACATTACGGCAAGTCAGTACAAACTAGGCATCCAAACAGCAGACAACGAAGCTTGGGCAACTTACGATAACGACACCGAGACTCCACCAGTCGTAGGCCTTGCCGTAGTTGCGAGAGCCATCAGCAGATTGGGCGAGCGCTTCTGGAGCCACATACTCAGCTGTCCCCGACAGTGTCTTGACGCCAAAGTTGCTCCCATAAATATGTTGTTTGGACAGACCAAAGTCCACCACACCGATGTGGCCCTCTGAGTCAATCATGACGTTCGACGGCTTGAGGTCCCGGTAGAGAATGTTCAATTCGTGGAGATACGAGATGGCGAGCACGAGTTCTGCCCCGTACAGCTTGGCGTCCTTCGCACTCAACCGGCCTTTCATGTTCAGGTGGTAGAAGAGATCTCCAGCAGCGTAATACTCCATCCCGAGGTACAGCCGTTCATTGGTCTGGAAGGCAAAGACCAGTCCACAAATGTATGGATGGTGAATCCGCTGCAGAATCTGTCGCTCTTCCATTGCGTTCTGCACGTCAGCCTGGTCCATGTTGTTCTTCTTGATGATCTTGAGAGCGAATACTCGTCCGTCTTTTTTGAAGCGCACAAGCATCACAGCACCGAAACTGCCTTTGCCCAGTACACTGAGCATCTCAAAGTCCTGGATCGTAAGCGCCTCTGCTCGTCCACTCTCAGGTTCGGATACGGTCTCTGACGCACGGCCTTGTTGCTCTGGTTGAAACATTTGCTGCTCCTGTTGCGTCATTTGCTGCTCCTGTTGCGTCATTTGCTGCTCCATTTGCTCCTGGTGTTGTGAATAGTCCGTCGCGTCCACAAACACTTCGTCCTCAGCGATTCGAGGCACCGCAGCTGGGGTTAAGATAGAAGCATCAGATAAGGAAGTGACAGAAGAGGGGATCGGAGAGGGACAAGGAGAGGGAACTGGAGGCGGCATGCCAGGTGAGGGTTCTCCAACAAAAGTACTCGTGACGTCAACTGAAGGTGGACGGTGGGGGGTCACTACAACGCCGCCATGTTTCGTCAGCGAGGTGGCGGCAGCAGGAGGCGGAATCGACACTGGCTCCGTGCTTGGGGATGGTAGCGGTTCAGAGATGGACGGGATGCCCAAAATGAGCTGACTAAGTGGCCGACGGTCATGGTTAGCTTGGGCCTCAGCATGTGCTCGAGCTTGGGCCTCCTCGAGAGCTGTTGCTGATTCCTGGATTTGTCTTGTTGGGGGCGCACCGGTAGATGTGGTGATAGCAGGTGCTGTTGCTGCTGGTCCGGACTCCTTGGATACACTCATGAAATAATGCTCCAATGCCACCTGCACGTCTCCGCCAGCGCCATCCAGAAAGTTGGCCAGACGATCTCGAGAAACGTCCGTGCCAATGATGTTTGCCATCTGCTCAATCTTAGCATTGGTGAGTTGGATCTCGTCGGAAATGGAGTCCTTCCGATGCTGCAGCACCAAAGGGGGACATCATCGTTAGCCAGTGGTGGGACTACCAAAAAACCCAACGCATTTATCACCGACCGACTGTGCCTGTTCTCGCGCTGAGAAGCTCCCAGCCGACATGGGGGTACCCATGACGCTAATTGTGAGATTATTGACATCGACGGGGTCACCACGTTTCGGCAGACTTTTGAGCGCGTTCGGCGTGAGTTTTGCGTACAGATACAAGCGCTGGTTGGCTCTGCACAGAGAGACCAGGTCAGTATTAACGACTGCAATTAGTTAGAAAAATCCTCACGTTTTGATGCGTTCCAGACCCAGAAAGCAGCGATGAATGTTTGTGTTGTAGCTACTGATACCCACGGGGCGCTCGTCCTTGCGCACTATCTCCTTGTCCTTCCACTTGTAGCTGGTGAGGAAGAAATAATCTCCTGGAGCCAAATTCTTGCCTAGAGGCAGGCCTCGTATCACGAATTTATTGCGATCGTCTTCGGATGGAGCTTTCCACTGCAGCATTTTATTGAGGGAACTGGCCTTGAGCCACAGTCCGTTGCACTCGAGTGTCACCACGTCTCCATTGGCGAAATAAGGTCTCTGAGTGGTCGGTGAGGGGACCCCCAGGAAGGATCCAGTGCGCCAGCCACGTTTACGCAGGCGGATAGTCAGGAATTTGTCGTTACTAGGTGTGAGCAAGTCGTAGGCTGGGTCCCCTCGTGTGAGTGTAGCATAATAGGCCTCTGACTTGCTTACCATTCCCTCCATGACACGTGGATGAAGTGTGAGACTGAGGCCCGACTGTATACTCGGGACGGAGAGTGTGGGAGCCGCCTCGCCCAGCACCTGTGTCAGCTGCAGCACCGAGGAGGAAGCAGCAACAGGAGGCGATGCCACCTCGGCGAAGTACCAATTCAGTGCGGCGCTCACATCGAAGGCGCAAGCGTTCAGACATGTCAGGATGACGCTTTGTGGTACGTGCTCGCCTAGGATCGTACGCATCAGCTCCACATCGCTCTCGGCCGACGCGTTCATGGCCGCCGACGCGCTAGTAGCGGAGATCATGGAGAAAATGGTTCTGGAGACTCATGGAATGAATTTTATCCAATCGGGAGCTGATGGGGCTATAAGTCACTTGAAGCGTCGTATAAGTTAGTACTTTTTTGTCGATGTGGCGGACGCGGCGTAACACGGTGGATCGCGAAGCGCTGTCGCTAGTGGTCCATGGCCCAGAATTCCGTAGTGGCGAACTGCTTGTACTTAATCCAGATTTTTTCCCGGACGTGCGAGTGCTGGATCTAGTTGAAGTCTCACAGCCAGAGCGGGCACACCCGCGCCTCGTGCTTTCCGTCGAGTCGCTTGCAGCTGTGCGAGGCAAACTGCAAGTGAGTGTGGCAAAGGAAATCGCGGCCCAGTTTGGACTCGAGGCCTTCCGCCCCGTGACTGTGCGCCGCGTAGACCAGCGAGATGTGAGTGTGGACTTTGTGGAGCTGAGCTTCAAGGATCAATTCCTGTCGAGAGCCGATATTTGGCGGTTCAAAGTCACGATGCTTGGCCAGTGCGTCTACGTTGGGAGGACTGTCGAGTGTCTCGGTATTCGCTCGCAAGTGGACGCCATACTGGCCAACAAGACGCAACTCAGCTGCGGAGTCATCGGAGACGCCACGAAGATCGTCGTTCGTTCTCGCTCCAGTCGCCTCTTTTGGCTCGTCCAGATGAGTACGGAGATGTGGGAATTTGCACCTGATGGAGAACTTTACTACGAAAAGCTGCTGAATCGGCTACTGCGTGTACTCATTGCCAAGTGGAGCGGGAGCTCTGTGAGTCACTCAGTCACCATCATCGCCTTCTCCAGGAGCTTCTACGACGCTAGCCAATTTCCCGACGGGTTTGACCCAAGGAAAGTGCCATTCTCAGAACCTAGAAGACAAGGATTTGGTCCAGGATGCGGCGCTCCAGGCATTAACATGGCCAACGGATACGGCCCCACTATCCACGTGGATCCCGTCTCGGGTCGCTACTATGAGGATTTCTACAAAGTGGTCGTCATGAACTTCACTGGGCCAGACTGGAGCCGGTTGCTGCTATTTCTGAAGAAAGAATTCGCTAGTTACTACGAGACGCATCGGTGGCGAGCACCAGAAGAATCCTCTCCAGCTCAGTATGAAATCTGCCACTGCCCGCAGCCTCTCAGTGCCACTGCAGGGCAAGAAGCCCCACGTTCGCCAGATATCGACAGCGGTGGGCCTGAAGATTTGTACGTGAAATGGACCAAATTGCCTGCTGGGGTCCCGTCACGAGCCAGGGACGGGAACATCCTGGAAGCCATCAACGTCACCTTAAATGTGCTGGACAAACACTACATGGACCGAGACTTGAGTCGCACAGGACAGGGAATTGTGATGATGACAGCTGGTTGCAGTATCTTCAACGTCAACAGTAAACTCGCGGAGATCACCGAGCAGAGAATGATGGACAATGGAGTGGGCATGGATATGATTTCCTTGTCGACACCTCCGCTGCATGTCGTTCCCTTGTTTATTTACTCTGACCCTCCATCCGCAGAGACGAGGGTGGCTCCTACTAACGTTGAAACGCCGAGCGTCATGCGCAAATTCTCTTTTAGTGAAGCTTCTGGTGCGAGTCAAGAGTCAACACCGCCGGAGGTGACGGTCCCGTCGTGTCATGGAATGTCAAGCTTAACTTCAACTTCTCAGCCTAAAAGTCTTGAGCGGGTGCGAGCTGGCAGTGATGTTCTTCGTCGCTCTTCCACCCCAGCGACACTCAACTCCGCCACTGCAGAGGTGGGTACATCGGGGTCAAAACTAATGTACGACGTTCCGCACTGGGTAAACATCACGTTCTTAGACTTTGGCTGCGGCTGTGGAAGGGCAAACAACGTTAAGCCCCGCACAACTCCGAGCCCCAGCCTAAGTGCGCACCTGGATTCGCATGGATGGCATTCGTGTGAGTGCCAAGTGAAGCGAAGTCAGCAGCAGTTCAATCCTTTGCCGTCTTTTCGAATGTTCGACGTCACTTCACCCTCTGTAAGGCTCGTGTTCCCGGTGACACTGCGGAACTTGATGCGCAGAGACGCCCACAGCACATCCAGGCCTGGGCTTAGTACCGAACCGGGCTGTGTTAAATACGACAAGGACACCGAGGATGGAGAGAACCCCATCGACGCCTTACCGATCAGGATCGCTGGAAGTCCGAACCGCCTGCTGTTCGAGACAAGTGAGCTCCCAGACTTGGCATCGTCCGCTCCACCACCAGAACAATTGCACTTAAGTCGCTCTCCTGACTTTGATCCGATTGCTGCGTCGGGTCAATTACGCTCAGCGACGAATTTAAGCGCCAGTCTCTACGCTCGAGCAGCACTCGAAGAGTATGACGAGAGTGTGTTTGCACCGGTAGTGCGAGAGGGCGAGGCGAGTGCGAGGAACCCACGAGATCGGCGATTCGGATTCGTTCCTATGGAAAGTCACGACGAGCACGACAGTGCCACGAGCGCTACAATCGCCGGCGATGGTCATCTCGAGTGGTTTCTCCGCAACGCAAGGAAAGAGGCAAGTCACGGCAAGAGTGGCAAGTATCGGAAGGAGAACGGGTTTCTTCGTAGTGAAAGTGCCAGTATGATTCAGACGCTCGTTTCGCCGCGCAAGCTGAAGACCAAACTGCTGCAGTCTCCAGCGATAGATCGCACCAAGCAGCATGAGTTCAGTATCTCTCGTGGTGTCCCGATAGAGTCTCGCTCTGTCCCAAAGGCAGAGGCAAACACCTCGTTCTCCCTTGAAGTTATGCTCGGGAACTCCATGGAGCACCAAGGCTCCTATCACAATGTGAACGTTGTCACTAGACCTTCGTCAACTTCTAACCGTGGTCTCTTCGGCACTCCAGGGAAGAATCGAGATGACAAATTATATCCGCTTACACGAGCAATGACTATGACTAAAGAGCTGCCGTCAACGTCTGGGCGTTCACCTGTAATTGCTTCACCTCATGGACAAGATGGCAAGCTGACGAGTAGTCAGCGGCGTCTGAGTAACCCTGGCTCTCCCCTTGGGGGGATGCGTAGAAATCAATCGGAATTGTTCAGGACGCCTGCAAGTCTCAGTTTTAAGGCTTCGTCAGCCACAGATACGGCTGCCATTACCCCCATTGATTATCGCAAAGCTGCAGTCAATCCATTCCAGTACACGAGAGGTCAAGGCTCACAACATCTCTCGAGCGACCGACGTCGATGGAGTCACCTCTTTCCAATATCGAACCACATTGCACATCTCTCATCTAGCGACATTGTAGGAGAAGTAGCAACACTAGATGGCGAACCTTTATTCCTCGGTCCAAACTGGACGAGCCTCACGTCTCCAGCTATTCTACCGCTGACAACCGATCACTTCCCATCCACACAGGAGCTCCGTCAAGGCTATACTGAAGCATTTTACACACTGACAATTCCCACAACAGCGACGCAATCCCCAACGATCGAGTGTGTCCCTCGCTATCGCAACCACGACGAGTTGTTGATCGAAATGATCTGCCAGCGATTAGCTCGTGACTTCCAACTCGTGTCAAGCTGCGACTCCACTGCGTCGCTCATGGGAAATGACTCGTCTCCTGAAAATCGTCGAAGAGTTTATCATTTGAGTATGGGGCATCGAATCCACCAGCTCATCTACGACGCAGAGCGTCAGACTGTCGAAGTCAAGAGATTTGTACAGCGAGAGCCGCACGACCCCGAAGTCGCGTTCACGTCGTACAACTACTCGCTCTGGGTGGGGCTCACTCAGTCATTCCAGCCACACCAACAGATATTCCATCGTTATCCTCAACCGGAAGATAACTGGAATGCATTGGACAATTTGTTGTGTGGGTACTTGGATGATATGGCAGATACCATGAAGTGTCGTCGAATTCGGTTTGCGATTGTGCCCCCAGCCACGATGATGGACACGAACGACGAGTCCCCTGCAGCACTTTACGCAGCAAAGTTCACCAAGTTCAAAGAGTATCTGCAGTCTCGTGTCGCTCCGTCGGAATTTGGAGATGTCGAGCATATCGTTGTCAACATGGTGTTGGATCGTCCGGAAGCTACACGAGAAGCAAGTAATCATACGGCGCATCTTGGAGGGAATCGCATGCTGAGTTTTAAGATGGCTTGTAAGGCGTCGACGCTGTCTGTCTCGTCGTCGTCTGTCTCGAAATTCGAGGACTCGAGAACCGAGTGGGTCATGATGCGACTGGAAGAAACATTAAACATGTCTCGATGTTTCCACCTGGATGTGCGATGGTTAGCGTGCAGTGGAATTGCAGCGGATGAGTTTGTAGGAACTGTGCGACGTCGCGCCAAGCAGGCCGGTTTGGATCTACGTCGAGTTCCAGAGTATTCTCGTGTCTCTCGCGTCCAGATTCACCCCCTGATAGCGTCTCTATTTCTACCGCTTCCCTTGCGGGTATCACATTCTTTCGTGACAGCACTCACTCACACACTTGACTTTGTGTTGGACGACGAACGAATCGCTGACGGGAGTGGAATAGGCTACGGACTCGGAATCGACCAAGAGACTTCGACTAACAAACCGAGAGCCAACGTGCGTGGCCATCGTCGCTCGCCATCCGCCACCGCTCGACTGCTGCTAGAGCGCTGGCAACAACGTGGATACAAACAATTCATCCACAGACGAGTCCCCGTGTTTGTGCGAATCATCCACGACGGACTCATCTGGATCCCAGGCTACGACTACGATCGCAAGGGCGACGGATCTGCTGGTATGGAGGCCTCTAAGACGTTATTTCAACAAGTCTGTAACACCATCGACTCGCAATGTCGCGAAAGCTCTGTAAATCTATAGAACGTCCTACTTAAGAACTCCCATCAATTTCTCTCACTGAACAACAACAACAAAAAACCGAGATCAGCACTTGACAGCACTCGGTTCTCCACAGCAGCTACCCGAGTCTCCCTGTACCGTAATACCCAAGAAGGTCCAGCTCGACACGACCTTCGGATTGACATGGATGTCGTAGATTTTGTCAGCAGTGCCCGATAGCCCCGACACCGTAATGTCCGTTATCTCCACGAGACTTGACGCGTCACCAGTGTAGCCTCCCTTTTCCTTGCTATGGTCCGAATGGATGACGATGGCATTCTTGACATTTGCTAGCGTATTCCCAGTGTACGAAGCGCCCATGACTGCGCCGTTTTTACCGAGGATGGTCTTGATTTGAATGCCGTTGATGCTATCGAGGATTCTGTTGTTTTTGACTGTCAGACCACTCACAATGTCCGACTTGTATACTGAGTCGCCACCAAGAGAACCGATCGAGATACCGTGCCCACCACTGCAAGTGTTGCCTGTGAATGTGGTGTCATTGCTGGATTGCATGGCAAGACAGTCGTCCTGGTTGTACACGGTGCAGCCGGAGATGGTGAGGCGGAGATTGCGACTCAAATCGAAGCCATCCGTGTTCTTGGCCACGTTATCCCCAGCCTTGGAGTTCAGAGTCAAACCGCTGACCGTCGTATCTTTGGAGTCAAGGATACTGAAGGCGAGTTCTTGATATTGAAACTTTTGAGTGTAGACGATTTCAGACAGGGCGAGTGATTGAAGTGCCTTTCTTCCAGTACAAAGATCCCTGACCGTCAAAAGTTCCGGTGCCCATGTGTCGTATACCTCCTCTTCCTTCAAGGGTCGGGTAGTCCGCGGCTGTTCAGGGAGTACGGTCTTGTTCAGTGGGGTAGATAGGAGCACTAGAGAGTTGAAAATAAAAGTTTGTTGATTGGCTTGGCTTCCTCTTGAGTAGAAGGAGGGAAATATAAGACTGAGAGCTAACCGGAAGAGAGACCTAACGCCTTCTCGACCTTACATACACTACACTACATATTTAGAAAAAGTGAAGGATTCACTTCGTTTGTTGTCTGCCTTCGTGGGACAACGGAGAGCTTCTGGGAAGGGGCTTGATGTCGCGAGGTGCTTTTGGTCCCACGACGCCAAGACTCCGGCGTTCTGGGGCCCCCTTATAGGACCACCCTAGCGGGCTCGGTCAGGGGCACGTGCGTGGTTGAGTTCAACGGGAACCACCCTGACGGGACGGCGGGGCGAGGAGTGATTCCAGGGTCTCGAGTCATCCCGACGGGAGGCAGAGCTCCTGGAATGACCCCTCCGCTCCCGGGTACGGGACATCCTCCCCGACTTGTCGTTCGTCGTCCTCGGCGAACGGTTCCTCTGCGTACATCTCTCACGTTAGTCCTATAGACGCCGTCGTTAGCAACTTCTTCAGACAGGGGAGGTTGGAACGCTTCGGGGTAGTCCTCGGAGCGGTCCCCAACGTAGTCAGGGTCGGCGGCTTGAAAGTCAAATAGCACTTCGACATCGTCGTCGACCCGCAGACGTTCGATGTTCCGGGCTTCGGCCATACTACGTTGAGAAGCGTTGCGGCGGGTACTCGTCAATGCTAGTTTGACCAGCACCTTAGGGGAGACAGATCGGAGGGGGCTCCCCTCGTCGTATTGGCGACAAGCGTGAGATACCACACCAGCGACCACCACGACAAGAGTGTCGGCGAGACTCCAGCCGGTCCACTCGCGGCAGTAGTTGGTAGCTAGTAGGAGCAATAGTACAGTCCCCACACCCACTGGTCCCAGGAGTACGAACTCCACCAGATCGAAGGCGTTGACCGGGATGTACAGCAGTAGAGACAGGCATAGTAGTACTAGCCAGCAGGCGGCTTCTCCCACCGCGTACAGGCGCATCCATGTGGCCTTGAGAGCGTCCCAGAAAGCGTATGCTCGAATCTCTTGTACGGAGGAGGACTTCTGGGATGTAGTCGAAGAATGTCACCTTGCTGGCGATCCACCAACTCCGCAACATCCGTCCATAACGACCATACTTCTCTTCTCCTTTGAGTAGAACAATACGAGGTACAGCAAATAGCGCACTCCACACTCCATACGCGTAGGTAGCACCCCGAAGTTGACGAAGTTCGTTAGCTTGAAGTATGTCTCGGTATAACGACGCACAGTCGCTCCAAATATCGCAGTTCAACTTGACCACACGCCACACTTGGACCAAGAACTCCCAGGTAACGTTACGTAGAGGAGTCGTTAGGACCCAGACCGTTACAGCCCCTACGTACACGGGCCACAGCTCCCATCGGGCGTACTCGTAGAAAACACTAGCGTGAGGCTCCATTTAGATGAGAGTACACTCGGCAAATAAGAAACTGAGTACACCCATGGCGACTCTTCTCGACGTCATCCGACCTCCATCCGTCTTAGTCGCCACCCATCTGTCAAGTCCAGTAGCAGGGAAAGGAGAACTCCGATTCCTCGTCTTTTCCAGGAGCCTCTCTTGCACCCAATATACAGTTATCACAGGAGCCTCGAGAGAGAGACAGGGCCAGGGTCCAGGTACCGACGGGCAGCCTTCCTGCTCATTTGGCAATTTGGCCCCGACTTCCGACACACCCTCGGCGCCCTCTCTTCTCACCACCCCAGTATGGGCACCTCGCGCGGAGCGGCCACGCGCCGCCTCAAGGCCGTCTGGAACGTGGAGTCTTCGGACTTCGACGGCTCCTCTTCAGATGACACTCCGGCCGACGAGCGCTTCTGGATCCTCATGCGAGACGTCCTGGCTGCAAATGCTAGTTCCATCGGCCTCGAGCTTCTGGATGACATAGCCGCCGCGATCTTGGACGACACGGGGAAGGCTTCAGACGCTCTGACGGGGACGGTAGTTATCATGCCCAGGCCGCCTCGGCAACCGACTCGCGGGAAGCCGCCTCGGCACCCACGCTTCACGCAAGATGGTCGATTTCCGCTCAAGAGCATCAGCACTGGCTCGACTAAGAAGAAGACGGTCACGGAGAGTCCTCGTTCCGGCAAGAAGCGTCCGAGTCACCCGTGGTCTTCGTTCGCGTTACCATTCAAGTTGTCGGACACGACTCCTTCTCCCGTGGTCGATGATCTGAAACGGGTTAACTACGAGGCGGCCGAGCTAGGTCAGGAACCGTACCAGCTGGCGTATCCGTGGCCGGGCTCGCACTTGTGGTACAGCACGCAAGAGTACCCACACGTGCACGCTTCTCACTGGCACTTTTGGAACGAGAACCGTTCCAAGTTCTGGGATTGGCAGGCGAACGTCCCGTTGAGGACCTCCAACGCGCAGACTCAGCGGCGCAAGGCTAAGATGGCTGCCGTAGTCGCACGCGTCTGATTCCTGAGCATTTGTATCGAGACCTGGGGCTACTTCGGCTTCCTTCGTCTATTCGAGAGCTGCGCGCACCGTCGTCGCCTTATGTGGATGGGAGGACAGCCAGGTCGGAATGCCCCAGACGCCAAGTCTTATAACGGCCCCGTCATCGACAACTTGTCTAAGCTGTACTCGCGCGACTCGGGAGCGTACTCGCGAAAAGTGAAGAGCGCTCTCAAACCGTTCCGGATCGACGAGGGAGGTTTCACGACCATCCCGGGGCATACCGGAGCCCTGGACCCTAATAGCTCGAAGCCCGACAGTCAGCTCACGGACCGGGCGTTGGCCCTCGTTCTGCTGGACATGAAGTCGAAGGAGGATCACGAGCCTCATTGGGTAGGGGACCGTTCGAAGGGGGTCTGGTATGCGCTAAGTCACTGTTCGCGTCTTCAGAAGATGACGGCCAAGCTTTCGCGCGAACGGGAGAAAGAACCTTTTTCGAACACCCAAGGTGACCCCCTTAGATGCGTCTGAAGCTGACTCGGCGGGATATGCAGCGTATGAGCGTACGGACGGTACTTACACGGCGATTTGGGAGGAAGTGAGTGAGGAAGAGTCGGCTTACGAGGAGGATAAAGCCGAGAGCGACTCTGAAGAACTCCGTCCCGTTAAGAAGACGCTGCGCCTTTCTTCTAGTTCCGACGAGAGTTCGGAGGACGACGAGCTTCCCAACAAGCGTCTACAGCTCTCTCACAAGTCTCTGAGGGCGAAGGAGCGCGCGAAGCGTTCCCGTTCCCCGTCTCGTAGTTCTACCTCCCTGAAGAAGTCTCGATTAAGCTCGTCGCGCAAGCGGTCCCCTTCACCTTCACGCGCTAAAGGCAAACTCAAAGCGCGCGCTGCTTCGCCAGAACGTTCTGTTTCTCCTTTACGGTCACGATCAAAGCCCCCAGTGCGCAAGAAGTCCCGTCGGGCACGTTCGGAGGAGCGTCCTGCGTCTCGGTCGAAGTCTTCGACGAAGTCCTCAGCCACCAAGACGAGTAGGAAGTCCCGGCGGGACAAAGCAAGATCACCTTCGCACGCTCGGTCGAAGTCTCCGACGAAGTCCTCAGCCACCAAGACGAGTAGGGAGTCCCGGCGGGACAAAGCAGGATCACCTTCGCACGCGAAGGGGAGTAAAGTCACTTCCGACAAACCGACCGAAGGCAAAACGCCGACTCCTCCGTCAGCTCCAGCGTCGCGGGACGGCACGCGTAAGCGGTCGCGTTCGGTGTCTTCCTTGAAGAAGGCAGTGCCCCCAAAGGGACGCTCGGCCTCGCGGTCCCCGTCAGCACCTCGGAAGTCGAGTTCGCCGGGTGAGCATTCAGCTCCTAGTTTGCCGGCTAAAAAGTCCGACAAAACAGCCTAACGAGAGGCCGTCGAGAAGTTATTGATTCGTACCATTCCAGAACCGTTCCTCACTGGATGAGAGTAAGAGTACTGGCATCGTCTTCCTTTTTAAGTTTCTTTTTGTTTTTCACCATGATTCGTTCCCACTTGTTGTTTTCGTTCTATTTCTCCTGATCGCGGTAAAATTGTTTTTCTTTTTGGTATGTAGGAGATCAGCCACTTGTGAAGTAGAATCCAAAAATATACAAAGTCGTAAGAAGTGTTCTTCAGGACACTTCCGAGGGAGGCGGGGTCGTGAGTTTACTCTGGCTCATTGGATCGACCCGCCACGATTCCCTCTCCCTAGAAGAGTAGCTCTTCTTCGTCAACGGCGGCGTTAGCGTCTTCCAACCGCGCGCTGCGACGTAGTTCTGGTAGGTCTCCCTCCCGACGACGGGTTTCTTCGAACGCCTTGATCAGAGCAGCGTAGGTGGGCAATAGTGTGTTTCGTGGTCTCCAAAGAGTCTCGTAGGTATCTAACAACACCAGGAACTGCTCTTCACGGTTCTTTTTGCGTCGGGCGATTATGTCGATCACAGAGCAAGGAACTCCGGTCAGGGCCGTCTCTTCCCCTCCAATCAGGAGTCTCTCTACGAAGCTAGTAGAGGGGAGGTCCTCTTCTGATAGAGGTCCGTCGTCGTCTACACCCGGACTCGACTGGACTCCCTCGGGTACTTCAGACGGGAACGGTCGGCTCCACCGCCCTTGGAAACGTTTCAACCTATTGACGTTAATGGTCACGACCCGGTTGGGGTGAGAAGGGATGGCTACTCGATAGGAGTTCTCTCCCACAATCCCGACCACATGGTACGGACCATGCCACGCGAAAGCGAGCTTCTTTGTGGTCTTTTCCCCCCGACGAGCTCGGAAGTACTGGTAGACCCACACCGGGTCTCCCTCCTTGAACTTAATCGGTACCTGGTGGCTCAGTCGTTGGTCGTGTCTGCCCTGGGCCTTCAAGAGTTGGCGCTCTACTAATCGTCTCGTATCCCGCAGAGATAAGAATAGCTTTCGTCGGTAGCTAGCGACTTCGTTACTCTTCCATCC